CTGACTCCTTAAGTACTGCCACTTTAATGCTAAAAGAGACTGAGGAGTCCTGGCTGGTGTGGCTCAGTGGGTAGAGCATCAGCCTGCGGACTGAAGGGTCCCAGGTTCGATTCCGGTCAAGGGCACATGCCTGGGCTGTGGGCTTGATCCCCATTAGGGGAGAGAGGTTCAGCGGCTGCCCCAGGTCCGGGAGTGAGGTTTATTAACTCGGGTTAGTTTGATGTCTAAATCCAAGTGTTAACCATTACATGTTCCCCTCTCCTCACAACCCAGCCTGAAAAAATAAAAGCCCTCTGACTCTGCTTTCTGTCTTCCAGTCATTTTGGTTACCAGCGTCTTTATTCATGCTTTGGGAAGAAGTTACCGAGACATTTTGAGAGCTGGATGCGGGCTGATGAAGTGAAAATGAGCATAAGGGTTCAATTCTCTGTCAGCCCCTCATCCCTGGGTTTCCGGCTGCTCATCAGAAGAGCCAGGATTTCAAACCAGCTCGCCCGTCTATATGTTTCGCACCGAGGAAGAGGCTGGGGCGTCTTGAAGGCAAACAAGAGGTGTCCTTGACAATGTCATTGGCCTGGGCCTCATCAAAGCCTTTACAAGAACTGACGTCTGGGCCCATTCTGTTCCTGAGAACATCCAGCAGCAAAGAGTAACCTGACCCTCCCCCTCCCCACCTCGCCCAGCTGCCACCTCCACATGAGCATTTCCTCGATGGCGCCCGTGCTCCTGTCAGGAACCTCCATTGGCTCCCAGCTACCTAGGAGACGAAGGCTCCTCAATCTGAAGCCTCCTCTTTCCCCTGCAACTTCCAATGCCCCTTGCAGAGCTCGCTGCTCCCTCTCTCCCTGCCCCGTTCCTGGAGATCATTCCCACAGCTCGCCCTGGCACGTGAGCGCCTCTCTGGAAAACCCGCCCGGCCCCTCCAGCCTGGTGGACTCACTTCTCTCTGTGTGTGCCAGGACTGGCCCTCAGCGCAGGGCAAGAGGATCTGACTCTTCAGAGCACACTGATGAGGTAGTAGGACAGCCTTTATCCCAGACCTCCCCTTAGCTACTTGGGAGATTTCAATCCTATGTTATGTGATCAGCACCTCTGGGACTCAGTTTCTATTCTGCAAAATGGGGATGTGGCTACAACCTCAGAGCTAGCCTGACAATGAGAGGAGGCACCCTGCGTACAACACTCTAGCTCATGGCGAACAGCCCACCATGATGGCTGCTTTTACCCTCTCACCGGGCATTGACCCTGAGCCAGGCTCTGTGCTAAGTGCTCCACCAGCATCTTGCAGAGGCCCCCCCCCCACACACACACAACAAAACCCGCACAAGACCCAACGAGAAGAGGAAGGCCCAAGAGTGAGGCCCAAGGTCACCCAGCCAAAGCTGGATCTCTGTGACTTCAAACTCCCTGCCTCGCCCTGACTGGTTTGGCTCAGTGGATAGAGCATCAGCCTGCAGACTGAAAGGTCCCAGGTTTGATTCCGGTCAAGGTCATGTGCCTTGGTTCCGGGCACATCCCCAGTAGGGTGTGTACAGGAGGTGGCTGACTGATGTTTCTCTCTCATCGATATTTCTAACTCTCTATCCCTCTCCCTTCCTCTCTGTAAAAAAAATAAATAAATAAAAATCAAAATATATTTTTCAAAAATTCCCTTTCTTGTCTTTTCATTAACTTCCTCTCTGTCCAAGAAAGAGCCCAAGTCCATAGCTGTTGACCATCCTGTCTTTCAAAATCCTCCCTAAGACTCCAAAGTTGGGGCATGAAGGTGTGTGTGTGTGTGTGTGTGTGTGTGTGTGTGTGTGTATGGGGGGCGGGAGAAGGGGTACTCTGCCTCAATTTATGAAACGTGGGCCAGTGGGCTCTGTCAGAAACTAGCAGATTCTGTGAGTCCCCTGCCACGCCTCTCAGACACAGGCTCGCTGTGGGGATGGTGTACGAGCCTGACTCTCAATAGCAAGCTGCTCAGAACTGTCAGCTTTTTCTATTTTCATTTCCTAGGACTGAAATTGTCACAGGTAACGACGTCTGTCTTTCACTGCTGCAATTAGAATCTCCCCACACTGGAATAGTAAATATGATACAGAGGCTTAAAAGAGCAAGGAGCCTAGAACAGCCTCGCCACCGCATTCAGAGAAAAAGAGGCCCCCAAAAGCTAAGATTTGCCCCAGGGGGGTCACGCTCACCCCAACCCTCCTCCCTAGCTCATCCTACTGTCTGCCCCGCCTCCTACAGAATCAAAAAGGCGAGGAGGAAGGGATCATAAATCACTTCTTTCTCCAGAGTTTACAGTGTTCCTTTCTGAGGAGTTCAAAAGCGCCCAGCAATAAACCAAGGTGATGAGTTTACGTCTTTTGCTTTTAAAACGAAACTTTATTTGAACTCCTGGAGAGGCAGTTACGTGTTTTTTTTGTTTTTGTTTTTTTTTTAATTTAGGACATTCCTCTCTTATTCCAACTCTTCGCCCCATGGCGTTTTCTGTGGGCGGGTGGGTGATGGGGGGATAGGTTAGGGGGAGGGAGAGGGGTTTGTGCCTGTCCCTCACCTGTTCCCCCACCAGGCTTTTCCACCGAATGCCTCAAAGACATTCTCCCTTCTGTGCTTTTAACAAGTCTCAACACCCATGCAGAGAAGTCCCGCCCCCCACCCCCACACTGACTTGGCTGTTTCTCTCTCCGCGCCTCTCTCTCTCCACTGCCCACCTCCTCGCCAGAGCCACTAAGCCAAGAAATTACAAAAAGACTGTGCCATCTGCAGAACATCAGGCTGCCACTGAGATGTCTTTACCCTCATCTCTTGCCACTGCCCTTGGGGGACCAGAAAAAGAAACCCAACAGTTAGCAAAGGTAATAAAGCTGAGGATAACTACACTTTAAGGAGAAGATGAAAAAGAGACTAAGAGAGAGGGGGAGGGAGGAGAGAGGGAGAAATTGAAATGCCTGCCTTTTCACACCTCCTACACCAACCCGGGTTTGAAACAAATGCACAGCTGTCTTGCCCAAGCATTTTTGCTAATGGTTTTACCTCTGGGTGGTAAGCCAGATTTCGGTAACTAACCACATGTAAACACCGTCTGGCCACCGTACAACCTTCCCAACAGGAACACGGTGTGTGTGGGGGGTGAGGGAGGCCCGCTGCCTGGAAGCAGGTAGAACCACGCGCCCAGTTTCTGGGCCCCTGCATTCAATAAATATTTGGTGAGTGAATGAGCCCGGCAAGTGCTTAATGGTTCGATATACATCTGGGTTTTCCTGCCCCCTGGCTCCACAGGCCAGCGGGCCAAACCTCACATGCCTCTCTGGGTGCGGGAGAAACAATGGGAGAAGGGGGGGAGGGTGTCCAGGGGAGTCCAGTTCCAACCCATTTACAGACACAACAAACACAAAGGCAGAGTCTCACCAAACTGGGGCAAATAATAATAAATAATAATAATAATAGGACAAGCTGCTGAGACCCGCATAGCAGCAGCCCAAGGAAAGGAGAAAATACTCTATTAGGAGCATACTGCCTACAAGGAAAGCACTGTTCCTACAGCCTTTGGATGTAGCTGGCATTCCTCCTAGGAAAACATTAGAATATTCTCAAGGGGGGTCACTGTTCTCCCAGCATCATTAGGCAGCGCTGGCCAACTATGCAAATGACTAAGCATCAGGGCTGGGCAGCCCCCGACACCTCAGTTCAGCTTTGTGAGCGATAAACCAAAAGGATGCTAACTCCTACCCCTATAAAAGGGGCACAGGAACTCGACAAGTGCGCAGACACTCCTCAGAAGACAGGTGGGAGGCAAACATCACAGACGGGACCCAGGGGAGTCTCCTGGTCCAGAAGCCTTCCAGGCGACATTGGGTGGGATAGCTTTAAGGCTGGGAATAGCTCTGCCTGGATCTCCCAAGAAAATCCTCAGGAGCCCAGGACACACACACACACACACACACACACACACACTCTCTCTCTCTCTCTCTCTCTCTCTCTCACACACACACACACACACACACACACACACACCTGCCCCCCGCTGTCTCTCCTTAGTACCTAGAACAGCAGCTTCTGAGAATATAAAACAAATATCCAGGCAATAACACTATCCTTAGGAGGTACCACCCTCCCTCCAATCAAAATCCTAATAACTTTCTCCAAACCTCTCCCTTTCACAAAACGATCCAGTTTAAAACAGGTTGTTGCCTGTCCTATTTTAAGATCACTGATGAATGGTTTTCCAAAGTAAATGTATTTCTATCTCATACTGCAGTCCGAGGGGGTGCTGATATTCTTGGCTTTAAAAAAAAAAAATAAAAGAGAAGGCTTTTTTAGTGCTTCTAAATAGGACGACACCAGCCAGCGGCAGGCAGCAAGCGGGTGTGAGAGCTTACTCTGTGCTAGACGCTCACGTCTCAGCTCCGCTGCTGGCCATCCTGTGAGGTAAGTTCTAAGACAGGAGCATAATTGCTGTCTGCCATTCTGAAAGCAAAAAAGCCCTGAGACCCAAAGTTTTTCCATAGCTTACTTAGCGGCCAGACTTAATGGACCTGGACTCGTTTTGGAGGCCAAGCGGCCCTGACTTTAACACGATGAGATTTTAGTGAACCCACTGATGTGACTACCCACAAAGTTTGCTACACAAATATGTATGTGGATGACACCTGGATACCTTTCTAAAACCTCAGTCTCAGAATTCTGAAACAACTGGCCCCCCGGGTATAAGGGAAGGTGTGGTGACTCTATTATCAACCCATTTCACAGATAAGGAAGAGAGAGTCCTTGAGGGGAAGTGACTCGCCTAAGGCCACAAAGTGGACAAGACTGTGGAGCTGACCGAGGCGGCAGGTCTCCATCAGAGTCCAAGCTTGCAGTACCACGGCGGGCAGCCACGAGGCATGTCTTAGTGCTCACCCACTCGATGCCATCTGGGAAGGAGCACGGTGCCAGCAAGGATTTTCTCTGGACTGAGAAAGTGGCAGCGTGGAGAACACCAATGGGAACCGGAGAGATCCGGAGGGACTTACCTTGCCCAGGACAGTGAGGCATGGTTTCGGGTCCAATTCGGGCTGTTCCAGCTTCACCACTCCCACCCAGCCGTATTCGTATAAATCCTCTTCGTCATTGTTATTACACAGGCCCAGTGGGTGCATCTGGGAGGCAAGAGGAAAGAACACATCAGTACACTTTGTATTTCTCAGGCTCCACAGTCAAAAATAACCCCAAAACTTAAATGGCGGCGGGTGTGTGTGTGTGTGTGTGTGTGTGTGCATGCATTTTTCAACCCACGGGGAATCCTATCTGAGCTCAGTGAGCTGAGCACTGGGGAGAAAACAGCGATAACCAACTTTTATGGACGCTTTCTCACTGTTTTGTATAATACACAGTGGTCACCCAAGTTGGACACCACCCTCTGGGATAGAAGGAAAAACAGCATCGCACTCCTGCAAATGTCAATCTGGTCTGCTGTGTGACACCGTGACATGAAGCAGCAGTTACAAACGAGACTAGCGGGGTTAGTAGCCAAGGCTATTTGGCCGCTAGACCTCAGCAGCGCATTGACTTCAACGTATTGTGCAAGAGGAGCGGGAAACACAAATTTACAGAGAGACCGCTAGAAAGAAATGGGATATAATAGAATCGCCAGTAGAAAGGACAGGCTGTTTCAAGGCCATCCTGGTTACTGGGAAACAGATTAAATGCTTTAAAGCTTTTTCAGAGTTTACAAAGCACAGAAATCAAAGATAGGTCGAGGAACATCATCCAAGTTTTGCTAATAAAAGCTCAGCCCACAGGAACGTGAAAACAGAACAAACCTAAGGTTCGCACTCACAGATGCGTCACTGAGCTGAATCAGGCCCTAGAATCCCTCATAACAAGTTGAGGAGACAAAATCCTCATAAACATAATTAATCAAGACCTTAATGAGCCTAGAACAGGCTCCTTAAATAACTGGGAGAAATCTGTCTAGCTTTATAGCATATGAGAGATACAAAAGATCTGAAAACCCACTGTGATAGAGGAATGGATGGCCCTTATGTCCTAATCACGTCCTAATCCCCGGAACCTGTGACTACATTGCCTTACGTGGCACAGGAGGCGTTATATTTATAGATGTGATTAAGTTTGAGGCGGGATATTATCCTGGATTAACTGGGTGGGTCCCATGTAGTCACGAGGGTCCTTATAAAGGAAAAAGGGCATCGTGGACGCAGGGAGGAGATGGAGCCATGGGCTTTGAAGATGAAGGAGGGAGCCATGAGCCAAGGAATGCAGGCAGTGGGCCTCCAGAGGCTGAAAGAGACAGGAAATGGATTCTGCCTAGAGCTTCCAGAAGGAACATTGCCCCGCCAAGCCATTTCTTTACTTCGGACCTCCGAACAGTAAGAGAATAAATGTGTGTTGCTTTAAACCACTAAGTTGTAATAACTTGTTTTAGCAGCATGATGTTTCTCTCTCCCTCTCCCTTCCTTTCTGAAATCAATAAAAAATATATTTTAAAATAAAAAGTATCCCTAGAGTTCCTCAGAGACGACTGTCCTCAGCTCACAGGGGAATCCACCGTGGAGATCGACGTAGTTTCCACCTCGCAGAGCCCAAGCCAGTGACGCAGCCCTTGTGGAGACGGGCTCCTGCAGAGGGCTGGCCCTGTCAGGTGAAAAACAGGTTCCTGGCCGAGTAAATAACTTGAGAAACACTTCACAGGCATTCGGGATTTACATCTATAAATTAAAGGTCTGCAGAGGCCAAAGGTTTAAAAAACAAAACAAAAGGTTGTTAGCCTGTATTAAAACCAGCGTTTCCTACCCTTTGATTATAAGCCCATTTGGTGTTTAATATGGTCACACCGTTTCATGGCACCGGCTCTGAGAAATGCATACACGCGTGACAGAATAAACCTAAAGCAAACATGACTCCAAAGTTGAACACCCATGACACAAAGAATAAGGGACAGAGTGAAAGAGACGGAGGGCCAGCTGAGGCAGCTGCAGGTAAGGGGAGGCCTGGGAGGGTGGGCAGGATGTGGAGAAGGGAGAGGAGGAGGAGGAGGAGGAGGAGGAGGAGGAAGATCAGGAACAGAAACCAAGGGCAGCAGAAGCAGAAGGCAAAGCCTAGAGCCGGCACTTTCAAGCCACAGTGAGGAGGAAGGGGGTCCGACCAGGCCCGAGGCTTATGCTGTGCAGAGCAAAACTCAGGGTCCCATTCAAGAGAGAATAAATGTGTGTTGCTTTAAACCACTAAGTTGGGTGTGCAGAAATCTGAACGCTGGGTGTGCAGAAATCTGAACGCTGGAAGCCCCAAGCACCCCTACTGGTCCCTGGGGTTCAGCAGGCCTGGTACCCGGCTGCCCTTCCCAGCGGGCCCGCTGCCCTCAGCAGCCTCGCCCTCTATTCTCCTCCAAGGCGTCCCCATCGAACCTTCCACCGCCGCTGGGGGGACTGTTAGCGGCTCAAAATGTCAGTCCTGTCAAGGGTGTTGACTTCTGAACGGAGATCAAAGACTTAAAGACCAAAAGGAATTTTTCTACAGTGCCAGTGGGTGTGATTGATTGGCGTCGGTTGTTTATTTTCCCAGGGAGGGCAAAGAGGCCACCAAAATAAAGTCACATCTCAGAGGATCGGAAATCTCCCTCCCCATCTCCGCCACCGCCACCTCCCCAGCTCCAGTCTGAGCTCCTTCTCTCCTGAGTTCCTCATTCCCGTTTACATGCCCAGGTGCCCAAACTACCGTATTTTCCGGCGTATAAGATGACCCCCTAATTTTTACAGTTAAAACATAGGTTTAGGCCTATATTCACTGTATAAGAGTACCCCCCACTTCCGAGGCAACACCAGTTCTTTTTTTAATAGACAGCCTCTCTGACTGGCCAATCTGAGCAGGCTTTTTTTCGTTTCAAAAGTCGTCTTATACGCTGGAAAATACGGTACTGGTTCTGTTCATTTAATCTCAACTGCATTTTAAGGGTAGCTGACCTCCTCAACTCATGTGCCAAATATTGAATAGTTCAGGTCTCTGTCAGCTTGCCTTGGTGACAATATCAGCTTCTGGAACGGCCCACCACCCCAGGCCTCCAACTAGTTACACCCTGAGTTCTCTTTTCCCAAGGGCTCCAGTTAGGAGTGTGTCAGAATGTTTTTTAGGGAAGCACAAGTAGCCATAAGAATGAAAACATTCTTTTGTGAACTGATCTGGCCTCAAAGGGTGGAATAGTCGAGGCAAAGTCACAAAGTGCAAATGGATAAAAACCATTCTGGGGGAAATGAAGAAGAGGATGGCTTTCCCATTAACTGAGCATCTACTATGCTACTATGTTTATACTAGAGGCCCGATGCACGAAATTCGTGCAAGAGGCTCGGCCCTCGCAGCCCGTCCTCATCCGGAAGGTTGTCTGGAAGGACATCCCGAAGGTCGTTCAGCGATCCAGTCTAATTAGCATATTATGCTTTTATTATTATAGACACTTCATCCACTGAGTCGCCCAAGACATTCCTGGGACAAAAAAAGACGTACTGGCGATGGCACAGGAGCCAAGGCTGATCCTTCGTGGTCCTGCTGTGGAGCCACAGCAGCCGGGCGAGAGGCAGAGGACACCGCTCAGCGGCCTTCACTCAGGCCGGCGCAGACAGCGCTTTAGAAGCGCAGCGGAGGAGGGGAAAAACAGAGGGTGTCCCGATCTAAAACACAAAACCTCCCCTTTTCCCTCCAATGTCTGATCTTGGAAGCTGCTGTAGGCTCCAGGAAAACGAACAAGAGAATAAAGCAAAGACGAGGCAGGCATGGGATCCAGGCCACAGGGAAACCCAACAGAGAAGAGCCAGAGAGGGAATTCCCAGGATGTAGGCTGTGGGAATTCCAGGCCCAATGGGACCACAGCAACCAGGGCTGCAGGAGAGACTAAACCAACCAGCCAGCCAACCAACCAACCAACCAACCAAACACCTACCCAACCAGCCAACCAACCAACCACCTACCCAACCAGCCAACCAACCAACCAGCCAACCACCCACCCATCCACCCAACCAACCAACTAACCACCTACCCAACCAACCAACCAACCAACCAACCAACCAACCAGCCAGCCAGCCAACCAACCACCTACCCAACCAGCCAACCAACCAGCCAGCCAACCAACCAACCAACCAGCCAGCCAGCCAACCAACCAACCAACTACCCACCCACCCACCCACCCAACCAACCAACCACAATAACCTGAGTCATTACCCAGTGGGTTTCACAGTTCTGAGAAGAAGATTATGGTTCTGAACAAGCATGTAAAATGTGACTGTTACACGGCAAACTAGAGTAACGGGGGTGGGGTGGGGGGTAGGTGGGGGGGGGGGGGAGACAATTATTAACTCCAGAAAAAAAGAAAAAACACACAGAAAATTACACCAGAATTTGCAAACCATAATCAGGGTATGGCCCGTGTGACCCAGTTAGCTGAGAAGAGTGACAGCCATAATAATGTAAACCCTGATCTAAGCAATAATTGTGATGTAACTATAATGCAAAGATGCAGAGATGGGGAGTAGGGAGGAAAGAAAGGGGGTGGGAGAGAATAAGAGAACAAAAATCTTCATCCTTCACAGGAGGAAGTCAAAAACGTGTTTCATGGACTGAAGCAGCAGTACATACATGTTATTTCAAAAATCGCTCACAGAAATTTAGAAATATTCAGAGATGACTAAAAACTATTAAATAATTGAAAATAGTTGCCTCTGAGAATAGCCGTCGGGAATGGCAAAGGGTGCAATGGAGAAACGTTCCTTTTCATTATGAGCCGTGAAGTGCTCTTTGCCTTTTCATAAACTCAGACATGCATTATTTTGATTAAAAATGTTATATGTGCCGAAACCGGTTTGGCTCAGTGGTATAGCGTTGTCTGCAGACTGAAAGGTCCCTGGTTCGATTCTGGTCAGGGCATGTACATTGGTTGTGGGCATATCCCCAGTAGGGGGTGTGTAAGAGGCAGCTGGTTGATGTTTCTCTCTCATCGACGTTTCTGGCTTTCTATCTCTCTCCCTTCCTCTCTGTAAAAAATCAATAAAATATATATTTTTTTAAAATGTTATATGTGCTGATTGCACAGAAGCCCCTTTCTCCAGGTGTTCCAGCAGATTCCATGGGTCCTACAGGAAAGCACACTGTTAGG